GAATGTGCTCTTGATCTTTGTTTTTTCAGGAGAGATCAGAGTGAAAAATGTTTTATTGAGGAGTGTCTAATCCCCTGCAACCAAATATTGGTTTTCCTGACCAGACCAGTTTTCCAGGTAGCTTAAGCAGATCAGCCTTCACTTGGCACAGCATCCAGGATCACCTGTCAGTATCAGAGGTAATTATGATTAGAACCTATTTGTAGAAACTTCTGATATTGAGCTGAGGCACTTGGAGTCAGATAATGAAAGCCCATTTCTGGTCATGTAATATTTTTCTAAAAATCAAAGGGTTTCAAAAGGTAGCATTTCTAAAAAGGTACATATGTAGGATTAGAATTATTCCTTTTTACCACCGTCCCAAAATGGATATCCCATGATAGTTTGTTTCTGTCAATTTAGAGGATAATTTTTATCCATTTTCCTGGGAAACTTCAGATGAACTGGAACTATATACATTATGGGCTTCATGAATGTTATTTTCAACTGGGGAAGCAGAACCTGTTTCTTTTTTTTTTTTTGGGTCCGGTCGTGGGGCCTGAACTCTGGGCCTGGGCACTGTCCCTCAGCTCTTCAGCTCAAGGCTAGCGCTCTACCACTTGAGCCACAGCGCCACTTCCGGCTTTTTTCTTTTTGCTTATGTGGTGCTGAGGAATCGAACCCAGGGCCTTGAGCATGCAAGGCAAGCGCTCTACCACTGAGCCACCTTCCCAGCCCCAGAACCTGTTTCTTAAGCCAAACTTGTCTAAGTGTGTCAGAGAGTGCAGTCTTCAGCTCTAACAGATGAGCAATGAGCTTTTATGTCCCACTGCTTTGAATCTAGTTAACACTAACCTGTTCTTTTGGACAACCAGTGGTAGTGAGTTATATGGCTTTTCCTTCTGCATTTGTTTTTTTCCAAAGCATTTATTGAAGTACAGTACAATACAGAGATCTGAAGAACACACACAATTTTGCATTTTCTAGGATAAACACAATCTGACTCAAAACATTTGGCAGCCTAGGTCTCCTGGGACTGATCTTGCTACCGAAGATTGTGGTCAGGAACTTTACTGATTTAAAAACAATGTGTTCTTGCCTCTGGTATAGATTTAAGGAAATGTGAATGTGTTGGAAGACACAAATGTTTTAAATTTCTAAAGACTCCTTATTTGTTTTTGCTTGAAAAGAAGTGTAGGTCTTTATCTTGTGCTGCATATGTTCAAGAGGTAGAAAAGAAATTCACACTTGCCTATTCTGTTCAAGCCAACACTTACTTTTCTCATTTAATCTGCACAATTCCCTGAGAGATCGATATTATTCTTCCTTATTCTTTACAGGAAAGACTAAAGAAGCAAACACCTTATCAATGGGGCACCAAATCAAGCCAAGGCTGGCTCCTTCCAAGGCATCTCATTTCTTCTATCTTTCTTAAACGGAGTCTTCTTTTCTAAGTGAAACTTTTATAAATAAACATTTGAATCAGCTTGGCAGTACCCTGGACATTTATACTTCCCTCTTTTATTTGCAGGGTGGAGGATGGTGGTGGTGGTGAATATCTGTTCTCTCTTCTCCAATAGAAACCACAGGGTGGTATATGTTTTGTGGTTTTACACAAGTCTGGACGCTCAGCTTGTCTTAGGTAGGTGACAGTGGTAGGAGAAATAAAAGCTCATTCAAAAGCCAAGCAAAGCAGTTTTTCTTTTTTTTTTTTAATTTAATTTTATTTTATTTGTGAACATACTGTACAGAGGGGTTACAATTACATGGGCAGGATAATGCATACATTTCTTACCAAGCATTGCAGCCTCCTCCTTTGTTTACCCTTCACCTCCCTTCCCAGCCTCCCCCCTCCCCCCAATCCCAATCCTTCTCCTTCCCCCCCTTCCCCCCCTCCCCCGCACCGACAGCAGTTTTTCTTTGTCTAAGTGTATTGGACTTTGAGAGTTCCATGATTTAGAAGAAGTGAATTGTGAATCCTTTCCTCTTCAAACTGGTGATTGGTTGACCTGAAAGTAAATCTCAAAATAAATTTTGTCACACATCAAACATTGGTAGCAGGAAGAATGCATAAAACTGCTTTGTCCCTTCTGCCTGTTGATAAGAACTTCCAGGAGAGATTTCCTGTCTACAATCCTCTGTCAGGATATCAGTCCCAAATGTTCTGTGTATTCAGTCAGATGGTAGTTATGTCCTTGAAAATGTAAAATGTTCTTGGTTTTCTTAAGATCTGTATACTGTACTGTACCTCAATTTAAAAAAATGGAAATAAATGATTGTCCTTGAGTTCTTCACAGACTGTGAGCAGAGAAGCTATAATATTTTGATCAGAACAACAAACCCATTGAGCTAAAAGTTTCCATCAAAGGGTCACTCACTATGTACAGTGAGAGCACCCAGAGGTCTTTCATAAGTTCCTATCTTAATCAGCTCATAGATCTGCATTAGCAGCCCTGATCTTGGCCCCACATTCCTCTTAAGGAATTTATCACCATCGTATTTCTAGGTCAGTACAATGAAGAAAGCTTTTTCAAATAGGAGACATACTTTGGTCAAGACCTTCTGTCTCAGGACTCCTGCCAAATCCTTTTTTCTACTGATCTAGCCTGGCCCTACAGAATCCTCAAGGGTGGATGTCATAGCTGCTTCTATTGAATGACCACCGTGATGGGGACCTTCATCTTGAGGACATTATTTACTTTGCCCCATTTACACACACCCTTTTCCTGGAATTGAACTGCTCTTGCCTTGCCCATTAAAGCCAGGGTTGGTGATTTTAACCAAACTTCTCATAAAGCAACAGTTATATTTTCCCCACAGTAATCTTGCTGTCCCCTGAAGAAGGATGGGTTGCAGTCTCTCTTCTTCTCTGAAGTGGGGAAGAGACCAGGGTAGAAAGAGGCTGGAAGAGGCCTAACCCAAAGTACCAACTTTGATAAATATTGGATTTGGCCTACTAAGAGCCTTGGCCTGAGTAAGTGAGATTGCCTAAGTGAGATTGCCAAGGTCAGGAGATAAAGATGACTCTTTTTATCAGTTGTCTCTGAGCTATGCTCTGGAGTGCTGATTTGATACCCTTTCAGAACTCCTGTGATGCAACTTCATTGCCCAAGTTTCTCCCACCTTCTCATTTCACACACCTTTTTATCCCATTCCCTTATCAGAATGCAGTCTTAAAAAAAATAAAAACTGGCATGCATAAACAGAAATCCTTTGTTGGTATTTTTAATCTACAGTGGATATATTGCCATAGCAGTGGTTGTGTAATAATACATGTATGTATGCACACACATGTGCGCAGTCACAGACAGGCATATAGGCACAGGCAGGCACACATGCACACAAATGACATGTGGGTCAATTTGGGTTTCTGTCAGGCTGTTCTTTTTCCTTTCTCAAACAGCACCAGCCACTGAACAAACTTTTAACATGTCTTTAAACTTCTCTTAGCAGTTTTTAACTAGTTTGTGCCTAATTCAGGTCCTCTTACTCATACAAGTAGAACTAACTTTATGAAAAGGCTTGAGTTAGTTTGCTTTTAGTCTTATTTATTGTTGGTCCTAACCTAAAGAGAATTAAGGAGATTGCATGGGTGATGAGGGTTATATGAGAGGAACATGGGAATTGACCTTAGTTTATTTTCTGAGATTTAGACACTTCTCTTCATTGTTTTTATTTGAACTCATGACTTGCTCATTTTTAAACAACTATCAGTGAAGACATAGGAGATTTGTGCATTAATAATTAACCACAAGTTTGATATCCTATATGATATCCTGGCTGGTTTCCGGACAATCATATAACATCCTTATTTTAAAATTAGGCTTCATAAGCACTCAACTATATAGACTAGATAGATGTACTTTTTTTTTTTTTATTATTGTTAACATACACGGGCAAGTTGTTTTAACACACTAAGTTGAACTTGGTGTGTTAGAGTCTTAACCTTCCAAAGCCCAAACCAAACATATCAGTTAATTCAGGGGCTGTGGATAAAGGTGGTGATTCTGGGGCTTCTACTCTGTGAGGACTAGGAAGCCTTCATCAGAATAAGGGTCCCTAGAGCTGCAGAGGTGGCAGGGATGTCCTTGTCTCTGCCCTGGACAGTGCCTTCCCACATCCCTGGCACTTAGCCCACTTTGGAGACTGGTACTGTGCTGCAGAAAGGAATGGACTATTACCTCCTAAAAGCTGGCTTACAATATTTTTCCTTCGAGACTTTCTAGTGCAAATTTTTATCTCTTCTAGGTCTCAGAGATGGGGCAAGAGATGTTATTCCAATATGTAGCTACTAGGGGCGTGCTAATTTCCAACTGTGGCTAAAGGGTTGGGCTAGTGCCTGGATTTCACCTCTTGTGGGCTGTATGATTGGGCAAATAACCTACATTTTCAGAGGTTCAGTTGTCATCTCCATAAAACAAAAATAATGCTCCTCATCAGTGTTGATTAAAAGAGACAGGGCTTGTGGGATTCTTAAGGTAGTGTGTAGTGCGTTTGGAAGTGAGGAATATGTACCCTATGGTCATTGCTTTAATCATTACTATGCTAATAGCAGAAATTCTGCTTTCTCTGCACAGTTTTGGTTACATAATATTACAGATTTTCTTAAAGAAAATGTTTCCAAAAGCTATTTGTAAAGCAAATCCCCTATCCTTGTCCAAAAGACAAAAAAACAAAAACAAACTGAGATGCGGGTTGGGGGGGGCGTTTTGTAGTACTAATTTTGTATGTGTCTGGATTCAAATTTCCAAATTAATCTTCTTAAACCTGTTGAAAAACCAAGGGCAAGGTGCTGTACACCTATAATTCCAGCACTTGGGAGGCTGCGGCCAGTCTGGGCTACTTAAGGAATTCTAAATCTTCCTGGGTTACATAGTGAGACCCTGTCTCAAAAAGGAAAGCATAACATGTCTTCACAGTGCCTGAGGTAGCTAAGCCTACAATATGTAGTATGAAAAGGGGATTTGCATGGCTAATTAGAGATCCTTCTCTAATCCTTTTCCTGATTTTTTTTTCTTTAGGTTTTAGGTGTTTTCATCGGACCATCCAAAATGCATTTTCAACTTCTGGGTAAGAGCTGTTAGAGGGGGACTTCATACACTTGGCCACGCTGCCTGCGGATGACATTTTGACTGCATCAACGCCACGTGACCCCCTGCCCAGGATGAGTGATGAAAAGAACCTTGGCGTGTCCCAAAAATTGGTCTCCCCTTCCAGGAGCACGAGCAGCTGCTCTTCCAAGCAGGGAAGCCGACAGGTAAAATTCAGCTTGTACAGTATTAAGATGTTCTAAACTGCCAAGAATTTGCAGGCATTTGAGTTCCTATCTTTATATCAGTTCTCTATATTTTAATAGTTTACCTCATGTGTCTACCAGGTTTGGTTCTTTGTATTATTTTATTTAGTCTTTTGCATCTACCCTTCAATGTAGGTATTAATACGCCCCTATCCCCTAGAAGTTACTAACCCAAAGATACACAGCTACTGAGGAGCAGATAACAGATCAGAGCTCCATTTGTTTGGCTCTTATACCCTGCTAACCAAAATAAGACACTGCCATATTCCCAGTAATTATAATAATATAAACTCCCCCACTTGCTTCTCTTATCAAACCTTTTTTTGTGATGTGTGTGTGCACGCACATATATATGTCTATGTATGTGCATGTGTTGGTACTCTAGCTTGAACTCAGGACCTGAGCATTGCTTTCTGAGTTTTTTTTACTCAAGATTGGAGCTCTGCCACTTAAGCCACAGATCCACTTTTATCCTTTTGGTGGATAATTGGAAATAAAAGTATCATAGACTTTCCTGCCCAGTCTAGCTTTGAATTGTGATCCTCAGATCTCAGCCTCCTGAGTAAAGGAGTTAGCCACTGACAATGGGCATATCAAACCTCTTATGACTGCTTATTGGTACTGAAGTCTCTCTTACTTTTATTTCTCTAATGGGTTGAGGGGAACAGAAAAGATGGTCCAGAGGAATTAAGAGGAGGAAGAAAAAGTGAAACAAAGAACAGAATAATTAACTCCTAAATAACTGTCAGGTTATCATATGTTCCTTTCTGGTTTTCTTGCTAATCTGTTGGCAGGATTTGCTGGTGCTTGACCAATGGCAGGAAGTGCACATTAATCATTCAGATCCTTCCTTCTTTACTAGGTGGGGGAGGAGCTAAAGGCTTCCAAAAAGCCAGATTTATAGCCCAAGTGGTCTCTGAACCTTTTCAGCACTTGCTGGTCTTGTTGGCATTGTCTTTACCCTGCAGGAAGTGCTGGCCTAAGAATTCACCCAGTGTGCTTGGTTCCAGATTTGGAAGCCACAATTAGGCAGCTTCCCACCTCAAGCTGTCCACATGGTTGTGACTCAGCAGCAGCATGGATCTGTGTTTGAACATGACCTGGGACAGGCCGCAGGGAGCTGGCCACCCACACATCTATGATTCTAGGCAAATTAGAGTTTGCTATGGCTTGACATGTCAGGGAGCCTCCAAGGTCTCCCTGAGAAGAAGCTGGTTTTTAAGAAGCATTCATTATTCCTTCCATCCTCCTTTGATCAGGACATGATCAAAAAAGTGGCCGGAGCTGGAGTCACCAACACTGGAGTTGTTTAGTGATAGTCTCAAGTTCAAGACTAAGAAAAGCTTCAAAGTGTTGTTTGAAATCTGTTTTTGTAGTATTTGTTTTGAGTTTTATCATAAAAGGTAAGGGGATGTTTCCAGTGCATTAACTTCTTTCTCATTTGGAATAGTTAGTTGGTTAGTCATTCATTTATCAAATGATTGTCTTTCAAGTTTTGTATTTTCCACTTCAATTATATGCCTATATAATATGCGTTATAAATACAAATACTTGTCTTTTTCCTCTGTGGCAGAGAAGGTGGAGAAATTAATATGATTATTTCACTTTTAGTACAAGTTTGGATCTAAAGCATATCTTTAATTTTCAGGGGCCATTTTCTTAGCCCATCCACTGTTTCATCTGTATAAAAAGGAAATGTTTTGACTCTGGCGATCTGAGCTATTCATCTGCATCACACTTGTGGCAATTCATAGCCACACTGCTTGAGCTGGCAGTGACTGCTTCCGCCCTCAGGTCTGCAGCTGAGACTAGGTTCCTGTGGAGGCTCTCACTTGCCAACAACTGGGGACATAACCACACCTATGAGTTTTTGGTTGCTGAACAGAGTAGTGGTACCTTGTTTCCCACTGGAAAGTAAAAGCTCAGCACTTAAAACTTCAAGATTTCCAGACTTTACTTGAGGAATGTTGGATTATAACTGAGCACATCTGTGCAGCTACCTCTTTGTTTTTAAAGTGCCATTTTAAAGTAGTTTTCAAGCTGCTCTGCTCTTTTCCTTTCCTCCTTGGGGGGGGTCATCTCATGTTAACTTGATCAGCATTGTCTCAGTGCTAGTTTTGCTCATGTGCATTGGAATTACTGTTTAGGGTTTCATCTTCCATTGTGGTTTCCCATGATGCTTCTGTCTGCACTCATCCTCTCTGCAAATACCCATTTAGGGATGTGCTGCTCCTATCTCCCACCTCTGAGTCCAGAGTAAGTCTTAACATTTACAACTTGGGCTTCTCCTTCATCATGAGGCTGAACTATCTGAGCTCTACCACCAGGCCAGCAGACATTTAAGTCTAGGCCCATTTGAGAGGTTGTGTCTGCCTCCTCCTGCTTCTCAATAAGCAGATTTCAAAGCCCCCTTTTATTTTGATGTGAGCACCTTCCCTCTGTGCAACCTCTCACTTCCACAGTGAGCCTGGATTGAGTCCCTGGCTTTTCCATGGATACAGAGGGGCAGGTATAGTAAAGCACCGTTCTCTGTAGTCCCTATGTTGTACATCACATCTCTAGAACTGATTTTTCCTGAGCAACTGGAACGGTGTACCTTTGGACAACATCTCCCCATTTCTTCCCACCCTCAAGTTCTTGGATGCAACTTGCTACTCTTTATGACTTCCACATACAAAACAGATCACATGCTATTTGTTTTTCTCTGCCTAATTTCAGTTAGCATCATGTTCTCCATGTTTTCACAAACGTCAAGGTTTCATTCTGTTCTAAGACAAGTATATTCCTTTTCAAAGAAATTGAAGTGTGTGTATATACATGTACATTTGCATGTGTGTTTGCATATGCTGTGTGTGTATGTGTGAGAAAATGGAGGATGCATGTATTATAGTTTGTATATATACTACATTTTCTTTGGACTTACTTAATTTTTTTTTATCATGCAGACATGAAAAGAGCCTCTGGTGTTTGGATGGAGTAGGGGTGGCTTAAGTAAAGAGTAGCACCAAATGCTTGGATTCAAAACATCAACATGGCTGAAAGACTTAGTCTTATAAAAAAACATTTTCGCTTACATTTTTATCTCATACAGCCAGATGATGATATAGGTCTCTGTACTTTAGCCATACTGGATTTCTCTTAGCTCCTTAAACTAAATTTGCCCTTGTTTATTGAATTGAGATTGGCCTTCCATTTCAGAATTACTCATATAAAAATCTCAAGCAGCTATACATTTATGGACATATAACTTCCCTATCTATGTATCTGTTAAAAAAGCTTGCTTTCTTAGGAATAAAATGAGAACTAAATGAAATAGTACATATGAAGTGCCTAGGCTGCCACACAGGAAGCATTCAGTATATGTGGATTAAGTTAATGAATGAATTCACTCACAGTTGTTAGGACAAGAGATTGCTATTCATAAAGTTCTGTAGATACACGAAATGGGCTAGGGGAAATCTAAGTGGGAGGGAGAATTGCTATTTTAAAACCTATATAAGTAAATGCAATTTCCTTTTGTCTTGTTTTTTTCCCACCACCCCCTTACCTTTCTTGCCTAGAACATTTGAAGCAGCACATTTTAGAAGCTAGATGAATCTCAATAAAAATGAAGGAATCTGGCTTGTCTTTATTGATAGAGTTTGATAGTCCTAAGTTTCATTTCTTAAGCCACTTTCTACTGAGAAGCTATTCCTAAAAAGTCAATGAGCAGGGACAGAACAGCTATACATACCATTACAAGAAGCCAAGTGAACACAAAGACTATAGGTTGTAAAGAAGATACATGCTTCATTCTTTTATGTGCTGTTAGCATTTGGCATGAAAGTCAGAAATGAGAAAATGAATCTGCAAAAATAATTGAGCACTGCTTCATTCATGATTGTAGGGGATTTGAAATTCTCCAAGTCTGTTGCTAGGTCAGTCCCCATACAGTTAAAGAGATCACTGTTGTTACCCTACTGGGCTAATCTAAGGTGGCATTTGAGCTCTCCCAAGGTCACTTGATAAGAGTTAATTTATGCAGGCTATTAGGTTACTCTACACTCCAGAAAACACAGCCAGACTGGGCACAGTGCCAGAATCCATAGGACAGGTGAGTTCAACAGAGGAGAATTTGCCAAGATTTGAATAGTGATTTAAAGCTATTTTTAGTTGTTTGAGTAGTGAAAAATGCTTAATCTCAAGCTAGGTATGGTGGTACCTGTCTATAATCATAGCACTCAGGAGGCTGAGGCAGGAGAATTATGAATTTGAGGCCAGTAGTCTAGACTATATATCCAGATGCTGTCTCAAAAAAATAATACAAAGAAAAAGGAAAATGCTTGTTCCATATATTTCTATTACCTTATCAGCTGCCTTTTAAAGGATTGTATTGAATCAGTGCCACAAACTACTTGAGGAGGAGTGACCTTAGAATTGTGCTGATTATATCACATTGTTCAGTGGCAGTGTATTAGTTTGCTTACTGTCAGTATAATATAATGACTAAAGCTGAGTGATGTTTGAAGAAGAGGTTTATGTATTTGGATTTGGAGTCTGGGAATCCTGTGAGTATGGTGCTGGCGTCTGCTTGTCTTCTTCTGGGACTTCCATGAAGTTCAACTCATGAAAGAAAGTGGAAGAGAAAAACAAGAAGACTTGCTTACACCTACCTGTTCTTTGTGGTTATCCCTATGACCTATTGCCCAACACTCCCATAATGGTAGTGAGACTTTCATATCAGTTTGAAAGAGGACAGTCCATATTCAGAGAAGGACAGCAGCAAGACCTCTGGGGCCAGATGGCCTGGGTAGGAATCTTAGGCTGTTGATAAGCTGTTGATAAGCCTTAGGCAGGTTACCATAAGTCTTGGTGCCTTTTTTGCTTATATTGTCCACATTGACTTAATTAGAACTGCGTCTAGAAAGAACTGTAGAAGTATGTGACAATCCATTTTCTAAACTAGGGAGGTCCTAAGAGTC